GAGATGAACCAAAAAATTATGAAAGAACAAACATAAATGTGGTTTATTAATTTTAACTTCCGCCGCCGCGCCGCGCTGACCGCACTGTGTTTGACGCAATGCATGAAGTATTCCTACAGTCTTACATGCGCTATGCGTTTCGGGCCGACCGCTGCTGCACACACTGTGTTTGACGCAATGCGTGAAGTATTCATGCAGTCTTGTAGGCGCCGTGCGTTTCACGCTGCCCGCTGCTGACCGCAGCGACCGCACTGTCTTTGGCGCAATGCGTGAAGTATTCATGCAGTCTTGTAGGCGCTAATATGTGTTACATGCCGACCGCCTCGCCGGGGGATTCTCCTTTTCATCTCTCGTTCTCGTCATCATTGCTTTCTGCGCCGCGCCGTTCCAGGCCAAATTCCGTGTTCGGTTTCTCTCTTAGTCTTAACTCGACTAATTAAAGATGCTGTCTATTGTATCACAGGAGGACGACAAAATTAGAGATATACTCTCAGGAAATGAGAGATTTTGTCACCTTTTCTCGTTCGTAATTTTTTTCTTCTGTATCCGATTTTTCTTTATAGCTACATTTAAAAAAATTGCAAAATTTGCCGCCATGGGCCGCGGCCCATGTGGCCACCCCCTTAATCCAGCCCTGTTGACATCAAGAATAACTTCACCTGCAAAAAAACAAATAAAAAATAACGCACACAAAATTGTACTTTTATAATAAAAGAAAACTGTCGTTTTTTGTGTAAAATGTTCTCCGGTTAAAAACGATCTACTTTGTATTCGAAGCCTTAAAAATGTCTCCGTGCAGTGGGATTTCAGATTTTTTAATCGAGATAGGAGCGATGCAGCCTGAGACAGAAGGAAGGAAAAAATCAATCTCAGGATGGAAGAATGATGCAAAACTTTTTTCAAAAACACTGGCCAACTTTAGCTCTTGAGTTTTCTGCAAAGCTCCCATTTAAGAATTTTCTAAAAAAAATTCAAGGTTTTTTTTCTTTAAATTAAACATAACTGAAGCAACACTGCTCATTAAAAGGCCTGCCAAAACGGTCATAGGGCGGAATTTGATTCAAACACACAATGGGACGCATTTCTGCCAAACGGAACTATGTGCATTGCGACATGAGCCCTGAGAACCAAAGAATATATTCATAACAGAGCTCACGTCATAATGCACATAGTTCCGTTTGACAAAAATACGTCCAATTGTTATTCTTGTAAGCAGGAAACTCAACATTTTCACAACCAATCCGAAATGAAACCGTTATTGTCTTGGTTCGAAGTGAATTTCGGTACTTGCACGGTGTAAATCGTGTCGTTCGTGGAATTTTGAAGATGAAAAATATCCCAGAATATTTGAATTTGTACCTTGTCTAGTGATCCTAATCCATTCGCCGGTCCTCTGACGTTAATATGCGGAACTCGATTTCTACGTGAGCCCTGTTTTCCGTATATATTCATGCTTTCTGGGGCTCACACGGAAATCGGTCATTTAAACTCATGGAAAAGGATCGATCAATAGGGTGTTCGCAGCGAACACCTTAATGATCGATTTTTTACCATAGCTTCACATTGGGAAATATCGATATTCGATCGTTCACGCCTCGCCACTGTTCCTGAGGAAAGATGCTGCCAAGGGCACGATAATGAACACAGATCAGTGGAGAGGCGTGAATGATCGATTATCGATATATCCCCATTTGAGCTATGGCGAAGAATCGTTTATTAAAGTGATACTTCGAACACCCTGTTCATCGATCCTTTCCCGTAAGTTTAAAGGGCAAATCAATCGATATATCGTCGAGTTTGTAGGCATATGATTTTCCGGGTGTGATATTCGTGACGCGAGGAATCAGATTTTCAGCCGCGTCCAGAGCTTTTATTCATACTTTTCCTCTTTTCCTTTTTTTCGATATATAAATAAACGGGGACTCGATGCCCGGAGGGGGCTTTTGAGACCAGCACCCACGCTCCAACGCGCACGACTCCATTGCAACGCTGCCAGTTCGTCTCAAACGCCGTATTTTATCGTGCTCGGGAAGAACACCGTATGAGCCATCATGCGTCGCTAAATTTCATTCGACAAATCACGAATTCTCAGGAAAAATTGCGAATTTGTCACTTTCGATTTTTCAGAGTATTTCATTCGTAGTTGGATTTAAAAGTTCTGCAATTTTCAAGGAAAAATACCCATAACTTTATTGAGAAATAAATATTTTCTAAGAAGAAACTTGGCAACATTCGGATGATTTTACGGCGTTTTTACACTGCGCTCCGAATCGTGCGATTTTATCCTCATGGTTTGGCATCTTGCGAGTTGCATTTCGAACACGCGTGAGGAATCTGCGGAATAATTACAGTTTCTTCCTCGTTGGCGCGATGTAATTTACGAGTTGAAATCTGCCGATTGTTAATTCGAGCGCTCATAAAACCTCGACACAATGTAGCTCTCGTGATTATAGGGACGGCAGCGATCCCTCAGGGCAGGTTTTAGTTTTAATCAGCTTTATACGGCTTGGAAACTAAGGTGAGCTTGGTCGATGCGGGTTATTTTGGCGCTGGGAGCTGGTATAGGGTTGTACTGCCGTGCTGAGGAAAAACGCTGTATGGGCCTCAGGCATTGCCAAATCTCCTTTGACAAATCATACATTTTCGGGAAAATTTGCGAATATTTCTATTCCAATTTTACAGAGGATATTCTTCGTAAATTGATCTAAAAAATCTAAAAATTGTGAGGACAAATATTCATAACTGTCTTCAAAATTAAATATTTTCTGAGAGAAAATTTGGGAACATTCGAATGTTTTTATGACGTTCTTCCTTAGCAAGGCAGTGTAGTTCTTCGCAGAAATAAATGGAAACCCTCGACTATTATCTTGCGGCCATGGTGGAGTTTTTCCGTGAACACAACTGGACCGTCAGCTATTCTCAAAAATCGGGCAATTTAATTGTTTTGCAAGAAAACGATTGTTCTGATTTTTTTTTTTTTTTTTTGGACAGATTTCTGTGTATTTTCCGCATGGTGCGATGCAAATTCCTTAAAAATTACGAAAAAATCCGCACAAACATTCTCTCGTAAAAAATTAAACTGCTCTGTTGAAATTGACAATAACTGATGTGGCATGGTTCTTTTCTGCTACGGTCCAACTTATCCTGATGAGGGTCGCATTCATAAGTGTTCCCCTCCTTGAGAGACCTCATCATGTGGTTAAAATTAGTATTTCAAAATATATTATATTTTTTATTATTATACTTATAAAAAAATATGCGCCTCATACGGCAAGATCAGTTTAAGGAACGCCTATGATAACAGCCCTGTGCAAAACATCGCTCACTTCACATAGCTTCAAATTCAACCAACTTAGATGTTTTTCCCTCAAAAAACACCGCTATAAATTCAGACGATCTCGTTTTTAAGCGCAATGAATATGCGGGCTCTCGCAGTTTAGTTTTCCTCGTTCTCTTTGAAACATCAAACTAAGTTTCATCCTCCAGAGAGAACGAGGAGATTCAATTTGTATTTTTGCTCCCTATTTTTACGCCATGAAATGCGCTGTATCCCGCCGTAACGCACATCCCTCCCTTTCGTCCCACTGATGACATTAGTAGAAATACAGGGAAAAATGTACCACCCCAAAAATCTAACTAGCTTGTGTGTTCAGATCTTTAAATGATTATTTTCCTTGAGATGAAAAGAGAAACGGATTCATGTGGAATATATTTTCAACCCAATTTTGGATGTGAATGATAGAGTGATATTTCCTTAACAAAAAGGCTGATCTAATATTTTCGGATGTGTTGAACACGATGATAAAACATTTATTTGATAATTATAATTATTCATAATTTATAAAAAATATTTAGCATGAATTTTTACAGACTTAAAGTAATTATTTACACAATTTTACAAAGTACACACATTTACTAGGTGCCACAACATGTACGAACCACATTTTACTACATTATTAATAATGGGGAAGTATCTACAAGTGTTCGAAAAATAAGTAGCTTAATGTATTTTATCAACAGGCTTTCTCTGTATATTGGCCTAGGTAATCAGCGCAGTCCGCTACGGTAGTCTATTTTGTCTCCTATATTTAAGGATGAAATTTCTCTTGCGGAATTGTTTTGTCGCTTGAGCATTTGAAAGTTCAAAAATGGTTCAAAAGTTATCAGGGTAAAGTTTGTGGATTCTCGATGCACACCATCAGAAAGCACAATTGGACATATTTTTGCTAAAAGGAACTATGTGTACAAAGTTCGCGTCCAGCATAGTTCCCTTCAGCAAAAGTACGTCCAACTGTCAATCGTTTCACACTCATTTAGAACCGGAATCTCTTTAAAATGGAAACATCACCAAACATAGAAACATAACAAAATGTCCAAACGCGAAAATTATACGTTTGGTGTGACTTCTTAAATGCAATATTTTCCGCCTGGATGCATTAACCTTTATATTGGATTGATGAAGTAGATTCTTCGTGCAAAAACATTTAAAATGTACCTGTTGGTGTAATGTGAAATTTAAAGTTAATCCAGTATTTCAGCAAAACATTTTCTCGATTTTCTCACACTTCTGACTTAGATTCACAACAAATAAACATGGAATCACAATTAAATTTTAGCATCGTTGCCACTATTGCCATCTATTGCCACCTCAAATTTAACTCTTTTTTTGGTGAGGATGCGAGGTATGAAATATAAAAATATAAGATCCTCTAAAAATTCTTACAACATCCCTAGGAGCAATAATTTATATAAAGTAGTCCTTAAAACACCGTAAAAATATTATCCAGGAAATCACTTTTGGTCACATTTTAAGTCACCTTTAAATACGGTAATATTTACGTGGAAAAGTATTAAAAAAAATTGCTTCTCATTAAAAGTTTTTTTCACATTTTTTGCAAACATTTTATGTGACGTTCAAAACTGCAGCATACAGCTAGTTTCTTAGTTTCATGATTTCTATTAAAATCTTTTTATTAGAATTTAATGCCCTGTAAATTTTACTTAAAAATAATCTTTAAGAGTAGCCGAAAATGTAAATTTTGACAATTTTTTCAAGAGTTGCCTTTTAAAATTTACGAAATTGTTTAAAGTTTTCAAACAGTCGTTGCTTCTAGGGATCACGATACTCACTCAATGTTTAAACCAAAACGCCGGGAGTTTCGGCGATATCGTGGAGTCCTCCGATTCCTCTTCCGTTGTCAGCAATGAATCACCCCAGTTGGAATCACCATCCAACCGGCTCCTCGTGGTTGAGCTCGCAATTGGTTCTGACTGTTTCTTCCCCTTCGCTCCTGCTTTCCCCTGCTTACTTTCAAGCACAACTGAATTCTGTCCATAAGTTGGTTTCGGGCTGATCTCTCTGCCAAGTTCACTCATGACTGTCTCGATACTATCCTGAAACTTTAAGTTCAGCTCGTTGTCCTCAGCGAAGCTCTCCCTCCTTAGCGGGGATTCCTGCTGCACCTTCTGCTTCTGCTTCTTGGCCGCCTGGAGCTTTGCCTGAAAGTGAGGGTCACTCAAAGCGGCATTGACTAGCTGGGACCCTGCTTGCGACACGCCTTGGTAGAGCATCGTCCATATCAACATTGGATCGAATAGGCCGGCAACCCCGCCGTAGCCCAGATTTCCGAGGAAAGCTTGTCTTTCCATCGAATTTCGACCCGTTTTATCTTGAGCAGGTTTGGCAGTGTTCATGACGCGTTTCAGGTGAGCGATAGACTCTTCGATCTCTTTTGAGGTCGCTTGCAGGGCGCTCCAGCTTTCGATCGGTAAGTTTTGGTCGACGGTTTTCGATTCGAATTTAGAGGAGCTTTCAGGGGTTTCCAGTTTAACGTCATCCTGTTTAAGATCTTCACGTTTTGAATCCTCTAACTTGGCGTCTTCTGGCTTCTTGTCGTCTTTCTTGACATTTATTTCGTCGGGTGTTTTCTTCCCAACTGGTTTGACCTCGGTGGGTTTGCTCACGTCCGGTTTCTGGTCCGCTGGTTTGGCGTCATCCTGTTTCTGATGTGTTGGTTTGACGTTATTTGATTTCTGATCTGCTGCTTTTGCTGGTTTCTGGTCAACTGGCTTGGCGTCATCCGTTTTCTGATCTGTTGCTTCAGCGTCATCCGGTTTCTGATTTGCTGCTTTGGCGTCATTCGGTTTCTGATCTGCTACTTTTGCGTCAGCCGTTTTCTGATCTGCTGCTTTAGCGTCATCTGGTTTCTGATTTTCTGCTTTGCCGTCATTCGGTTTTTGATCTGCTGCTTCGGTTTCAGTCGGTTTTTGATCTGCTGCTTTGGTGTCAGCCGGTTTCTGATCTGCTACTTTGGCGTCAGCCGTTTCCTGATCTCCTGCTTTGGCGTCAGCCGGTTTTTGGCCTGTCGGTTTATCCTCAGCTATTTTGACGTCATCCGATTTCTTATCTGCGGGTTTAGCGTCATCCGGTTTCTCATCTATCGGTTTAGCGTCAGCCGGTTTCAGACTAGCTGCTTTATCGCCTGCTGGTTTGGCGTCATCCGGTTTCCGATCGGCCGGTTTATCATCGCTCGCCTCCGTTTCTCCCGGCTCAGTCTCCTCCGGTTTACGCTCGGGTTCCTTCGTGGAATCCGTGGTATTACCATCAGTCAAATCTCCATCAAAATCATTCGAGGTTTCCATGACCTCCTTGATCCATTCCTCATCCGCGTCGTAATACTCATCCTCAGCGTCCATCCCGATCTCATCCAGATACTCCGACCCCTCCTCCTCCTCCTCCTCCACCTCCACGGGTGGTTTCGCGGTCACGATAGGAGGCGGCGGAGGACTAAACAGAGCGAGGAGATACTCGAACAAACTCAACCGCACAGCCTCCTCCACCCTCTTCGCCTGGAGCTCGGATCGCATGGCGTCCAAGTACTCATGCGGTCTTAATCCGACATTCTTCCTCTCTAGAGCACTCCGGATCCCTTCGAGGTAGGCGAACCTCTGAGAATCGGGTGTCGGCGTCGTCGTTGTCGAGGCGGGTTTCGGCGAGGATCCCTTCACCCAGAATAACTTCTTGGGCCATTTCTTTTTCTTGAGTGACGTTGCTTTCTTTCTGGGGCCCGTGGAGGCGGAGGCGGTCTCCAGAGTGATTCTCTCCGGAGACAACGAGGGATCTCCATGTCGGGCCGGGATGGAGACGAAGCCGGTTGGAGCAGACTCCGGCTCTGGGACGGCGGCGGCGCTTGCCCGCCCGATCAACGTCAGGCCCGCGACGAACACCTGAAAAAATAACAGGTGCATACGTTAAACGCATATCGGAGTTTGCTTAACTGCTGTTCCGAGTCTGTCGCCGCCCCCGCGGGAACAGGGCAAAAACCTCGTCTCATTTATTTTGCGCGAAATTCTATCGAATTGAATTCGTTCTTTCGATTCTGCCGTGCTAAGGGAAAACGCCGTATGAACATTAGAGAGCTGCCGAATTTCCTCGGATAAAACATGTATTTTTGAGCAAAGTTGTGCATGTTTTTCTTTGGACTTTCCAGATATTTTAGATCGAAATTCGTGTTTATTACATCTGTATTTGCTGACAATAAAGGTCGCTTAAAAATAAAAAATAAAAAATGAATAGATCAAAATTTGAACAAAATTGTCTCAAAAATTTGAAAAAAAAATATTCACAATTTTCCCGATAAATTCGTTTTAAATTGAAGGAAATATGACAACGCCTGAAGGTTCTTACGGCGTTCTTCTCTAGCACGGCAGAATTTCCCTCAGGTACAATGAAAAAAAAATATGGTAGATTTTACCATGCTCTCACCTAGTTATCCGAGTATATGGTAATAAACACCAGACGCTCTTTAAGATAGCATTTACCATATTATGGCAAGTACCACCAGAGTTCTGGTGAATACTACTGTAATTCTGGTTATTTTCTCCATAAATAGGATCACTGCCTAAAAAATCAAATAGACTGATGTTAGATGATACTTTTTTTTCATTGACGAACGAAAGTACAAAGTACAAAGCCGTTCGAAGCACTAGTCAAAATAGCACTGGACAAAATAGCAGAAAACGGTAGAAATGGTACATAAAAAAATTGAGAAAATAGGTATTACTTCCCGCCACGAAAAATGACGCCGAATCCCATGGAGCAGTGCGGGACTTTACCAATGGATACATTAGTAACATACCCGATGCAAAACGACGGGAAAGAGCGTACACTACTAACTTGGTGAACGCTTAAAAAAATACGGAATCTAGATTTTGAAATTCATTACTTATTCACGATTCTCTATGTTGAAGCCTCATAGTTGTAGGTATACTAAGTTTTCTGCACATATCGCAAAGAAATGAAACACAGAAAAGCGTATCTCAAGCTAAAGTATGGCAACGCTGGGGTCAGTTACCGTATACACTTCGAGACCAAGAAATGATTAATTTTTACGGGGTTGACCTTTGGCCAGAGACGCGTTGTATATAATGCAGTGACTAATTTCTCCTCTTTTACGTTTGTAGTTTTTTACTTGGGGCGACAGTCGTCATTCATAATTATCAACTATTAAGGATCCTCTGTAGTTACGCGCGCAATGTATCATGCGTGGAATCATGCAAAATTTGATGCTTTTTTACTTGTTACGCCAATCCCTTCTATCCTTGAAGCAAAAGTAAGCAAAGATAAAAAAAATTATACGGGCTCACGGGCTCGAAGACGATTTTGACGGTGAAACTTTCCAATCACGTACCTTGGTTTTCGGCGTCATAGACTCCTTGTATACTTCATTTCTTAAACCGAAAATGACTCAACGTCAATGCTTAAAAACTTTCATCGTTTTTTTTCCCCCTATGCGAGGATAATTCTTAAAAAAATTTCAAGGAATAATAACGATTTGTTCCAAAAAATAAAAAAAAGAGTGGAAATTTTTAAAACACTGCAAACGAGGTACGAGGGGAGGGAGTATATCACTGTCGATATTTAGCAGAAGAGGAATGTGTATAGTGTCCTGAATGTAAGAATCAGGAATAAATGAAAAGTGATGGTATTAGTAACTTTATCACTGCGGAAATGAGCGTTATATAATTTTCAAATATCTTAGTAGAGATTAATATGTTCATCCCAGTAACATCCAAGCGTACACGCCTTTGATACACCTTTGAAGCAGGAAGTTAACATTTTTTAGAGAAAGCACTTATGGTAGGGATTGCTTATTTATTGCTTACTAATTAAGTTCGGATAGGACATTTTTAAGAAGTGTGTGGGAAATGTGTTACAGTATATCGTCGTCTCTGTGCTTCTACTCTCACCGAAATTATTTTGAAAATATTCACAATTATCCACGTTGGTTAACCTCATCCCACACACCTTCGCCACTGAAAACGCGAGCTACCCGGAAAAAACTAGGTAGCCTTTCTAGGACTATCCTAGTTTTTTCCATATACAATGAATTTCTTTCGTGATCCTAAATCTGATTCAGAACTGTGAAAAGAGTAAGATTTTCAGATTTCCTGCTTCTAAAAATTGAAGCCTGAGAACGAGGAACATTTTCTATGAGTTCTCCGAACTATGAGTAAATGCATACGCCAAATAAACCACTATCACAGCAAAAAACAGTCAAAAACAACTCAAGATTATTTAATTGATTTCCTTAAACCTCATTTAAAGAAAATTTAACGATTGATTCATAAACAGAATGCGTTACACACAGTTACATACACACACACAAAAAACACCCTTTCACACATAAAATAACACGCGCCAAGAAATATGGATCGTTGTCATGGATGTATGCATAAGCAATTGTATTACGGTGTATTGAAGGCGCCTCGAGTTGAGCCAAAGATCGTCCGGCACACGAGTGATGATGTTAATATTAATCGTGTGATTCAATCACTCATGGCCATGGCTATACTCGAACATTGCGGTAACGTGGTTTGCAGCTCGTCAGACTGAAGGCAAAGCTACTAAGCTGCTCGGCTCTCATTTTAACGAATAAAATATTTTGGGCTCGTTTGGCTGGTAAATCACTTTATTATGAGGGTGTTTTCACAGTTGAAGTCGATAGGCCCTTGAGCATTTAGAAAAATCGATTTTTTAAAATTTAGTAGGTAGGGGGAAAAAGAGAAAATAGGTAAATAAAATTTAAAGATTAGCCTGTTTAAAAAGGAGGAGACTTGATCGCGGTTCGGATATAGATCACGATTTGTGCATTGTAAATTACTGGGATTAACTCCTAACGAAGATATTAAATGTTTTTTGACGCGTGAATTCAAAACCTCCCGCTCGTGAAAACTCAATGGTCCACGTGAATCAAATCGCACACCAAACGTTACCGTGGCAGTCTCTGCGATTCAGAAATATAGCCATCTCAATTTGGACGCTTCGGCTCAGCTGTAGCAAATCGCACACCAAACGTTACCGTGGCAGTCCCTGCGATTCAGGAATATAGCCATCTCAATTTGGACGCTTCGGCTCAGCTGTAGCAAATCGCACACCAAACGTTACCGTGGCAGTCTCTGCGATTCAGGAATATAGCCATCTCAATTTGGACGCTTCGGCTCAGCTGTAGCAAATCGTTTACACTTTGAACAATAGAGGGTGGGAAAGGAATGATGTTAAGGTGATTCGATGGACGCCATATTTTGTGTCAGAACGGCATGCGATATATCGCATCGATTGGTTCCATTATTTCAGCTACTCTTCATTTTTCTCCAATTTTGAGATCGCAATTCTGTTGTCAGGAGACTAAAGCATTCACTTACCAATTTTAACAAAGAAATTCAACGTAATAAAGGCGTGGTTTTTTTTAGAGAGAAAATATCGCATTCGAGTGCAGTTTCGATATCAGTATCGAATGCGATGTTTTCTCTCTAAAAAAACCACGCCTTTATGACGTTGAATTTCTTTGTTAGAATTGGTAAGTGAGTGCTTTAGTCTCCTGACAACAAAATTGCGATCTCAAAATTGGAGAAAAATGACGAGTAGCTGAAAAAATGGAACCAATCGATGCGATATATCGCATGCCGTTCTGACACAAAATATGGCGTCCATCGAATCACCTTAAATTGAGAGGTCTGTCACAACTGTTGGAAGGCGCGATTTGACTCACGTAGAGTATTGCGATTCTTGTGACCGGGCAATTCAAATCCATGCACCCAATGTAAAATAAAAATGTTAACAACTTAGCTAGGAGTTGATTTCAGTAATTTTCAATGCAAAAATCGTGCTTTACGTCAAATTCTTGTTTAGAAACATGGATCAGAATACTTAAATTAGTACCTTATCTAGTGGTCTATTCCGGTAATTTGCCAGAGAACAGAATCTCTGAAACTACATAATTATACTGAATAGTGTGTGTACGAAATTTCCATTTCATCAAGAAACATATCTGTATATTTTTTGCTAAACACATTTTTTTTCACTCAATTTATTTCGAACTTTAACCATAGTTAAGTATATTTTCAGTCCAAAAAGTAAATTACTGAAAGGAGGGGATTAGTAATAACCTTTTAAAAATGCGACTTTTGTCAAATGGACGGTGAAATTACCAAACCACGTATCTCGGTTTGCGACGTCGCAGACTTCCTGTCATACTTCATTTTTTAAATGAAAAACTATACTTAACGTCCAGTCTTGAAAATTTCTGTGATTTTTCCTCTTCGTGCGGAGAAAATTCTGTGAAAATTTCAAGGAATGATATTGATTTGGTCTACTTCAAAAAAATAAAATGCGAGCGTAGATATTTAAACACCGCAAACGAGATACGTGGTTTGGTAGTTTCACCGTCGAAATGTAACATGACGTTCCATGAAAGAATGGCCAAATTGATCTTCTTTATTTTTAATAAGATTTCTGGACTCCAATGATGCCGAATGACATTTCAGTGGTACCAACTTATATTTTGGGGCTTGAATCAACTAATGCTACCACATGCAAACCTAAATGATGACCTAAGCTACAGACATTTTACAATCAACTAAAATGTTCAATATCTTGTTTCTCACTCCGGATGCGTTCGTATTTCCACCTAGCTCCTTAATAAAATTCGCATTGTCATCGATTTAATTTTCCACATATCGACGGTGAAACTATACCAAACCACGTATCTCGGTTTGAGACGTCGCAGACTTCCTGTCATACTTTATTTTTTAAATGAAAAACTACTTGACGTCCAGTCTTAAAAATTTCTGTGATTTTTCCTCTTCGTGCGGAGAAAATTCTGTGAAAATTTCAAGGAATGATATTGATTTGGTCTACCTCAAAAAATAAAATGCGAGCGTAGATTTTTAAACACCGCAAACGAGATACGTGGTTTGGTAGTTTCACCGTCGATATGCAGTGCGTATAAATGGTGCTGTAATGTCTTATCAGAACGTTGGACACACGTCTAGCCTC